ATGAAAAAAGGTAAATAATATTACAGTATATACATAATTTTCCCTTTAAATTCCTTTCAGAATTCTAATCCCTTATTCCTACTGTATGTCACGTATAGTAATAATCTTACATAAGCCTACCCTCTCCTTAGCTAATACCGAACGGCATACCATTCCCCTCACAGGCCGGACTGGAGGGTATAAATAGGAGTTTCCAGTCCCCCACTCGACACAGTATCCCTACAGCTACTCATTTTTTACTTGACTTCAGCACTGGCTGATAGTCAGTGCAAGTCTTTTACTGTAATACTGTTCCCCAAAGTTAACCCTCTTTTGAGACCACTTTTTATGTAATACTTGTTTGTATGAGTTTTTGCACCAATAAATAGTTTTACATTCAATTTATTAACTATTATTATCAACTAATCAACGCTAAACTCCTTACCACTGGTGGACACCTTTGGGTGAGTATTGATCGGCAATAGCCGAACGGGTTCTCCGCAGACCGGCCTAACCCCCAGGTCAGGTAAGCGCCCCCTTTGGGCTAATATTTGTATTCCTAAGGAATATTCTGAGCTACCATTTAGTAAAACAAAGCTAAATACTGTAATATAAACATTACTTTAACATACGGTGTTAATTATTATTATTTTACGTAATTTATTACAAATAAAATTGTCTAAAATCCTACTTTCGATGACTTTTTAATGGGTTCTGGTTTAGCAAACCTAAGCGTCCCGACCGGTGGTTTAGCATAATGTATACTCAATGGTGTTCACATCAATACTGTTTACAAATTGACTGCAAAATACTATGCTCACAAACTAAGTGAATAAGGTGATTTTAAACATTATTTTGCTCTAATTGTATTTATTTACTTATAATCACAATTAAAACTTGACTTGATTTCTAAACCCAACTTTCTATTAATGGCTATTATGTATTACCTAACGTTATGTAATAAGTTATTATTTATTATAATTTATTATATAGATATTATCTAACAAGTAAGATATTAACTGCTTGACAATTTAATATATAGTATGACAAATATATAGTATTGTAGAGATCTAAAATTATAATAAACTTTATCTATTTTTAAGAGAAAATTTATTTGTCAATTAACTCAGGTTGTGTTTTGTACTTGCGCAAATTTCTATTTTTAGAAATACACATTTCAAACTGTAATCTTAGCAATAATACCTACATAATTATTAATACACAATTAAAATGTTCTACAAAATTATTTAAAATAATCAAATTTATGGGTATAGGAAAGAACACAATGGAATGACATTACTCACTTTTATATGAAATTTAAATTAATTGCTAGAATTATATTAAAAACAATTATATTTCCATAAGGCCGATTTTCTATAACGTTATCAATTTGCACGAAAGTGCTCATGTACTTTTTGAACAAAGCTTACAATGTGTTAAATGGCGCATCATGGTGCAATAATAATTATTGCACATATATTGTTTAATTAAAGGATTAATTGATAAAATTGATAATCGTATATACTGTATAATTTTAATGAAAACGAAAAAAGTATATAAATTGTCGAATTTAAAGCAAATTATATAAAATATTGTATCAATAGAAAATAAACAATATTAATTTAGTACAATGTACACCCAGATGATTTTGGTAGCTGCACTAATTCATGCAGCCATCTGTTTTAATGTTGATGGACTGCCCACGTTCAATGGCCACAAATTGACCCCGACACTAAATGCTCACATAACGGAAGCGGTAAATATTATTTTTAACTAAACTGTTATATTAAATATTTTATTATACCTAATTAATTTTATTAACAGGGTGGAAATATATTGCGATCAGTAAACCTAGCTCGCGAATCAAAACCAGAACTATTGTTGTTTACAAATTTGGACCGGGATGTTGTCAACGCAAATATGTCAAAGATTGTCGAGTATTTCATGGAAATGACCAAGGACTTTTAGAAAGAGAAATGCCTGAACATTGAGGAAAAGGACTTTGGCCGCCAGTCTGAGAACAACTGTTACGGTAATATAGCTGTCAAAATTAGGGTTACTTTGGTCCCGGACTATTTGGTTGTAGTGTTTGAGAAGGCCTACGGTATTACCGCAGGAATGATGCCTAAATCATTTCATATGTATGAGTTCTTTTTAGGTCCCCTATATTTCGGAGTTTTCAAAAATATTTAAGATTTTTATGTTTTCATTTCTATATTGATATTGATGAGTTACGAATTGAAATAAAAATTTAGAGCATTACAACGTTTTTATAACATTTATTTCAAAATTTATTGAACGTAGGTCTTTTGTATTTTTCAAAAATGACTGCAATTACCTAGAATATTAAAAAGTCTTAATAAAAACCTTATTGTGATATAACAATATATTCAAAAAATTTAAACTAAATTTATTATAAATTATATTTTAATAAGACTAATAAACATTATTTTAATTATTTAATTTATTTGCAAACTATAACTTAATAAAAAACTATAATTTATTTTAATTATAACGATTAATGTTTACCATTTGTAAACTAATTTTGCAACTATTTTGTTATTACGTTTTCTATTTAACAAACCAGAGGTGGCAACTTTATCAGGGACAAAGTACCTTTACAAATTATTAAATTACATTCTCAATCATACAATTAATTTAAAATATTAGTAATTTTTATTAACTATATTATATAAATATACCATATGGACAATTTATTTATTTTTATTTCTAACAATTTAATATTTATTATTAATAATCTTTTAAAATAATAATTTAGATAATAATTGAATATTATTTATTTTTAAATAAAAAATATAATATTGAAATTTATAAGTGTATTATATTATTGATTATTTAGATGAAAATATTATAGTATAATTATTGTACAACAAAACAACATCCAAATAATTGGCAAAAAATGACACTATGGTATAAATTATATTGCATAATAATAATAAACAAACAAATACTGTATAATTACATGGGTACATTATATTGATATACAACTGAGTACTAAAGTACTTATAAATCCTATTTGTACCTATAGTACTTTTAATGTGAATCACTTATCATACTTTTCATAATTTAGTGACCTTGCATAATAAGTGAGAGTAGTAAATATAAAACCACTATAAATCAAGGACACTACAAATTAAAATTTATAATTTACTTTCAAGATATAATAAATCAGATAATTAGGGAAGGGAAATTGGTATATATAAACATAGTGCTATATTTAAAAGTTTATAGTGAAAATAAAATCAGAATGGAAAGGTGTAATGTACTAGTTCACTTTGTGTTGTTAATAATTTGCATTCAATTTGCAAACAGTATTGATGTGAACACGACATCAGGTGTAGTGAGAGGTCTCTCTATAAATGTGTTGAACACATGTGTCCATCAGTTTTTGGGTATACCTTATGCTGAACCACCAGTCGGTGCGCTTAGGTTTGCTAAACCAGTTCCACTGAAAACACCAAAACAGGTATTATTTACTAAAACGGATTTGGTTTGAATGACCTACCAATCAATTGTGACCTACAATTTTACCAAAAATGTATTTTATTAAGTAACTTAAAATATATATTACTAGGAAAAAAAGTAGGTCAATTGATATGTAGGTCAATCGAAATATTCAAACTAGCAAAGTGAAATAAAAGTAAAAATTATTTATGATATTAGTACGTAATCGATGCCACAAAATTGGGCAACTCATGCATGCAAAAAGCGGACCCTGATACAACAAAACTATTGCCTAACCTCACGTACAGCGAAGACTGTTTGGTGCTAAACATTTGGACACCAAATGTACAAAATAATAGACATCGCAAAAGGCGGCGGCTACTAAAATCACATAAATCACGTGACTTGAAACCAGTCATGTTTTACATACATGGAGGCGGTTTGCAAACGGGGTCCATATTTTTTATGACCGCATATAATGGCAGCGTTTTGGCCACACATGACGTGGTGATTGTGTCGACTAATTATCGGTTGGGACCGTTTGGCTATTTGTACGCAGGGGTGGAGTCCGCGCCCGGAAATGTGGGCTTTTTTGACCAGTTATTGGCTCTTAAATGGGTATGAATTTTGTTAATAATTTAAAAATTATTTGGATAACATGGTGGTAGAGTAGCCTTAGAGTATTTAGTCATAATTCAAATGTAAAGTTTTAATTAAGAATTTTAATTCTAAATTATTTTATTTATTTTAGGACTTTATAATTCGTAATAATTATTAGTTTAAACATATTTGCAATCTGTTTTTATAAAAATAATACAATACTTATATCTAATATTAGGATTAGATTATGAAATAATAACAAATTTTGTTAATATAAAGTAAACTCGCATGTATGAATTTGTACGAAAATTCATTGAGGTTAATTTTGCACCGATCTATGCAAGTATTTGTATTTTAAATTAATGTCTAATTATTTTCGACAAAACTATAGGTTAGAGAAAATATTCACCGATTCGGTGGGGATAAGGATAAGATCACTATATTTGGTGAGAGCGCCGGTAGTTGGTCCACATCGGCGCACATAGTGTCGCCGCTAACTAAAGGCTTATTCCGGAGGGCTATTATGCAAAGTGGTGCCCATATGTACAACAAGGACAGGGATGTCATCAGCAAATCGGAGGCTCTAGATCTGGCTAAACAAACGGCGCGACAACTGAATTGCAGTGATGATGACCAATGGTTGCAATGTCTGAGGGGTGTCGGTGCTGACCACCTCTTACAGACTGAGACCAAACTCGAAACATTCCCGGTGTTGGGCACCGAATATATGCCACTTTCCGAGCAAAAGGCATTTTTGGACCACAAATTCAATTCAGGTTTGAATGCATTAAACAAAATCTAATTGGGTAACCGTCCAATTGACTTATTAAACAAATAGGCCTTTGATGAAATTCACAATTGACCTAAGTCTAAACAGAGTATTAACTGATGAAAAATATTAAAAATATTGTAAACATAGTGTCTGCCCAAAAATGTGAGATAGTTTTGTCCATATTAATTTTTAAGTAAAATTAAATTAAATTGGTTAAATTTAGTTCAAGTTTTTTCTATGTAGGTTAATTGTTAGAGCAATATATTTTTAGCTCGGAACCATTTAATATAATATAATTCATTTCATAGATTAACATTCATGGACTACAGAACCCAGTTACTGATACTTTTAACATTAGTAATTGGTTGCTAACATGCAAAAGAAGGACATTTATTTTGTACTGAAAACTGTATACATATCCTAATCAATACTTTTTATATGTAAGAAACATTATGTTGTATTATTGAAAGCATTGATTAGGTTATGTATAGTTTTTAGTGCAAAATAAATGTCCTTCTTTTGCATGATAGCCACCAACAATTTTGTTAATATACAGTATTATATTTATGATGTACCCTATTAAAAAGTTAACATTGTATCCCTATTAAGGCATCGACTTAATGGCAGGCATTACCCAAAACGAGGGGTCGTTCCTGTCGAGAGCCATCGATAGGCGCATCGAGGGTATGACTGTCGACAGGTTTCAAGAGGATGTCCTCAAAACCGATCACATGTTTCACGGACTGGACGTCCAAAGGGTTACCGATTTCTACCTGAAGGGTGTCAACCGCACGGATCCGGTGGCCATTCGGTGGGCTTTCTATGACTTTTTCGGTGACCTCTTCATGAAGTGTCCGACATATCTGTTCGCCAAACGGTTCAAGACTATTGTCAAACACCGGAAAAACGTCTACTTTTACCTACTTACTTATGTGAACCCCTTGGCGGCCAAACTGCTTAATTGTGACCCGGCTACTATGGGCGTTTGTCACACCATGGATATACCCTTTGTGTTTGGTTTGCCGTTAACTTTACCGCAACTTTTTACGCCCGAAGACCAAGTCTTTAGTCGACAAGTCATGAAAATGTGGACCGATTTTGCTAAATACGGGTATATTTGCTATTTTTTATACAAATTGTAACGCGTTTAGGCGTCATTCGCAAAGTACGTACCAATAAATGCTCAATAATTTACCACCACCCCCACCCCCCACTCTAACACACCTAGCGTACTATTTGCACCAAAATTGAGATGCTGTATATTTAGGGATAATTAACAAATTAAAATAAATCATTTTGGGACAATATTACACTTTAACAAGGTAAAATGCGAGTATACATGACCCCTACCTGTGCGTACATTAATTGTGAGTGAAATCTTAATAAGTGTTATAAATATTTAAATTTGTTTAAAATGACAGTAAACCGGACGAAGTTTGGCCGCAACTGTTGGATAATAATGTGGTAAAAGTCCGAGACTTAAATCCGGTGAATATAAGCCGGGTATTGGACGACCCATTTCACGCAATATGCGATACCTTTTGGAAAGACTACTATTTGTGAAATATTTTTATGAATTAATTTTCACAATAATTTGTGGGTATTTGTTGAGTCTAAAATTTATTTTAAGATTTCAATAAAATATATTTTTAATGCAACATTTTTATTGCAATTTTATTAATAGTATTAACTATATTATAAATAATGTAATAGTTAATTTTTTTTGTATTTGTGTATTAACTATTAAATTTAAGTTTTTTTATACTAGACTGTAATTATGGTAAATTATATTTAAATAAATTATATTTAAGTGATTTGTTTTTGGCTTGGGATAGGAAAAGACAATTAACTTTTTAATTTTGAAAAAAGTTTTTTATATAGCATGATTATACAGTGATAAGATTAAATGTTAATAATCACTTAAATCACAAGTATTATACAAACTCTATATTTAATTAAATTCTTAAATACTCTGGGTAATATCAAAAAATAGTTTTAAAACTCTTAAGTTACATTAATGACAGTTTACATTTCTAACTTTTATTATGAAACACCATGCATTATTAACCTAGAAAATTAAATATTAATTTCTATTATTATTTTCTAATAGTTTTTAGAATTTAGATTACTAATAAATTAGCACATTTTAAAATTAAATTTAATTATCATAAATAATTCATAAACATCAAGTATCATAAATAAATTTTTTATTATTAAATTATATATATTTTTAAAGTAAATTTGACAATATTTTATAAACTGTAATTTCAATATTAATCACTATTTAACATAGATTAACTTTTAACCGACGCATGGTTGGTATATTTAAAGGACCTGGATGGTAAAATATTTATTATGATAATATTTTTAGGTAGTAATTTATTTATTT